TATTTTGCTTCACTAGTACTTAAAATATTTATACTGTAATTTTCTTGGTTTGCATCGATCTTTAATCTGTCATGATGCCCTGTTGTTGAGGAGCATGTGAGATTGTGTTCATGGTGTTGGACCTCTCAAGTCCAGAGACCTGGTAGCTCACTCTCTCTCAAGTAACAGTACCAAATGCACTAGCAAGCTACTGAAGGGCCAGCCCTGAAAATTTTAACTTAAAAAGATTAACCTTATAATTGTGATTGTTAAAATTTAATATGTGTGTCCATAACCTGTTTTAAAAATGTTCTAACTTTAAAAAACATAAATACTAATCTATTGACCCTATTAATTTTGGGGTGTGCAATTTTAAAAGCACAGTTTTCTGGAGCAGGAAGCCCTTTGTGGCTCCCTGAAGCTAAAATGTTGATATAGTGCCAAACTACTAGGTGCCATCAGTCATGGAGGGCTTTTAGGCTTACTGGGGACCATGAGCGAGAACCTGGTCCCCTTAGAGGCAGAGAGAGCAGTGGCACTATGATAAAATTGTCAGTGAATTTGAATCATGTCTGCCACCACCAGGGATTCACCTACAAAGTCAGTGAAACAAAATATACCAAAGCTGGTTATAAGGAAATATTTATGACTCAAAATAGCCAAAAGCATTCTCCCAGCAATGTAAACAATAACAAAATTCATGAAACTAGTGCAAGCTTGTTCACCCCATCTCCACCCTTCATTTGAGAGGAGGGGGGGGGGGAGAAACATGAGGTCCCCTCTTTACCTTCAGGTGAGGAGGGCCTCTAAGGGAGCACTCCTGAACACACTAGAGAAGATAACTCTGGCAATGCAAGGGTTGCACTGGGAAGCACTCAAGGAAGGAAACACTGAGCACATGCAGCTGCAGTGCACTTAAAGGGTTGCTCACACTACACGGCGGTGTACAGGAAAAGTCACCATGGGCAAACACCACACCACTGAGCTGAACAGGCAGAACACTGAAGCCAGCATGGAAGAGAGGAATATAACTTGATACATCAGTAATGGACTGGTAGCTCAGACCCTGGCAAGCAGAGAGCTACTTCCCCTCCCCGCAAACAAGTTGGGAAAAGGTGGGGCAAATGAGCTTGTGCCAGTTTTGAGAGAATTTTATTGTTTACATACAGTAGTTGCAGGAGTTCTTTAGGCAGGTTTTGAGGCTTTGATCTCTTATCAATCCAGCAGTGGTTAGTTTTGACTCGGTGAGTTTCTGGCTGCTTTTTCCCGGTGAGGTGGCGAAAAGTAACTGCTCTCTGCACTTCTGTGAGGGAGCCAGGGTCTGGCTCTGGTCCCCGGTAGGCCTATAGAACTCCATGGCTGATGCAATCTAGTAGATGGTACCATGTCAGCTTGACGGAGCCACAAGCGGCTTAACCCTGAAAATCAAATTAGCTTCTCTTGAGATTTCCGGGTTCCTATTATGGGTCGTCAGTCACATTTACAGTTGCTCCTGCCATGGGTGAAGCTTCGAGACTTGGTTGCTGAAGTGTTGAGAGGGCAGCTATTTTTTGGTTTGTTTTGTCAAGATACCACTGCTTCTGTACCTCTTTGGAAGTCTAGGTTGAGTGCCTTACACAAAGTGTCATGGGTCAGCAATTCTTTATTGACACTTCTTCCATGGTTTGTGGTTCATCTCATTGCCTACCTTCAGAAGGGTTCATTCCACTATCTCATACAGGAGAATTTTGCTCATGTAAAAGTCCACATTCCCTGTGGTTGCTTGGTACTGTGCACAATTCAGCGTCATGAGGGTACAGGAAATGTACACAGCTTTCTGGGTTTTCTCTTGGTGGAAGCCCTATGACTGTTCTATCCATGGCTCCTCATGCATGCTAATCTTAACCCTTCAACTGCACATATCAACCAGGAGAATTTCATTGGTAGCGCACACATCAATAAATCTTGCACTACACATTTTATGTGTAGTGCAAGATTTAAAGCTGCTGCAGGTACATTGGTTCACATCCTGTTCTTCAGATCTCTAGTAAACAGATTCCATCTTGGAAAAAATTGAGCACCCCTCCTGGGTGTGAGGTGATTATACAGCAACCAACCATGGGTAGCACATAAAGCAGCAGGTCACAGCACTGCCACACAGCTTGGACCCGCATTGTTACCACTGGTACAGTGCTGCCGGAGCTCGCCGGAGCACGGCTTTGGCACCTCGGCAAGTGGATGATGGAATGGGGAAAAGGGAGAGAGGATGAGGGGAAGGGTGTTGATGGCTTGTGAGTGATGGTTGATCGTTTCAGGAAAATATTAGTATTATGTCACTAATAAGTTAATAATGTTATAATATTTCTTAATTTTTTTAAAGATGCAATAATATTCAATTTTTTATATATTTAAAAAGTAAACAGGATTAATTGTACTGGTATGAATCTGGAAACATAATACCCAATGCGCGTGAATGCTTCCTGTCCATTTATGTGAGACAAACAGTATGAGATAAAGTTGCCAACCTACCGCTTTGTATACGAATATTCAGCGATAATGCTCATGGCTTTAGCAGTACTGTAGTTCATTAGACAGTTATTCTTTATTCATGCAATAGTATATTTCATTATTAAATACTAGGCAGATAAAATGACAAAACTTCTACACACAACTTGACATAATTTAGTGCTTTTTGGGGTGGAGTTCTAGCAGGATGTGACATATTGCGTTGGCAACAATGCATGTGTGTTTCAGTGGCATTAGTAAAGTGGTGGCTGGTGCTTGGGGATTTCTCTCTAATATAGAAGCATTTTTTCTCACAAACAACCCCATCATGGCTTCTAAGCAAACAATGTTGACTTCCTTCTTTTGTAAACAAAACGAGGAGTGTAAGAAGAATAACGTACAAGAGACTGATCATGATAACAGTGAAAGTGGCAAAAGTTGTTTTTTGACTGCTTCTAGTTCAAATTTTCAAACTGAATCCATGTGAAATTCAGAAAGTAATGATGCTTTGAAGCCTAACTTGTATCCCTGTTCAGGTGTTTGGTCTGAAGAAATGTGGAAGAAAAAAGGAAACCTCTCCGTGGTTAGACTTTAGGGATGATAAACTTGGGAGTAAAGTATGTGCAAACATAAGCAATGTAACACTTTCACTTCTAAGGCTTTAAGACTATCAAATGAGTGGCAGATGTACCAAGTATACTATTATGGAGCAGATCCAAGTACAGTACATGCTTCAAGTCTCTCGGAAAAAAATTGTTGATCATAAACTATGGAAAACTCGCTCTACTGGTGTAGGCACTGCCATGCCAAGCAAGGTTTTGTCCCTTGCTTCAGCCAGATGGACACTCCTGCAATCAAGTTATCTGGAGTGCCAGAGCCTTCTTATGTCTTCCTTTTTCATTTTGTGTGAGTAAATTGGTTGACTCTGTCTCTGGAATAGCAAGGAGGTCTGTTATCCTGGTTCTGGGTGCCCCGTTTGAATAGACTCCGCTACTGGCCCTTTGCGAGTTGGGTCTGTTTAGGTGCTAGGGGCTTTAAGGTACTTGTGTGGGAGGTTCAGTAGCCCTTGTTCTCATCTCGAGAACTTGTCCCTGGGACATGAGGTCTGTATTTTAATGACTGGTTTGGGAATTCTCATGTTCCTTTTCACCAGGTTCACCCTTTCCTCCTTGACACCCCCTTCGAGGTATTTACGGGTGCATTTTGGCGTTTCAATTTCATCCCTGTCTACAGGCCGTGCACTCCCCTTTTATTCTTAGGTCCATGATGGGTCTTGGAGCTTGGGTGTATCTGATGCTCATTCTTCCCTTGCCTCCTAAAGAGAGTCCGATTCTGGTCCTGGCTCCAAGTAGGCTTGAGTGGGTCTCAAGAGGTATGGCATGATTTCCTAAGGTTTAATCCCTATGTCTACGGGAAGTTCCTGAGTGACGCACCAGAAAATTGCATTTCATTGCATTGAAGGCTTAATTTTTTAAAATGTTTTTAATCTTACTTAATTCTCAGGCACAGTTATTAAGAATAAAAATAGAATGTTAAAAATTATGTTAATTTTTGTTATTACCACTGAAGAAAGAATGCAGCATGAGTTTCTTGTGTAGAATATACGTATCCATATTTGTTGTTTGTTAGATTCTTTACCAAACTTTCCTCAGCATTTGATTGCTTTCTAATATGAAGTAAATAATGTTTGGTGGCACTCAACTTAATGTTATTATTTTGCATTTTTATTTTGAATGTTTTATTTTCTATTTAAGTTTTAATTAATTTTTTTTTGTTCTCTCCCCAATCTTTCTTCTTGACTCTCACTTCTGCCTTCTATTCTTTCTGGTGCTTGTGGTTTTTGTCTTATTCTTATTCTATTTTAACGCATGTGGCATGCTTATGTTTGACATGATGAAATTTGGTGTTATGTTTGTATTCTAAAATATTTGTAAACTTGAACGCGTCATTGAATATGCTTTTCTAAACGATTGTGAACTAACACAATTTGGATTATGGCTGTCATGTTATGTGCTTCTGTTCACTTTCCATGATTGATATACTGTAATATCTGATCCCAAATGGTACTAATTGATTTATCATTGAATACAATTTGTGCAAACTTGTTGTGTATATATAATCATGCTAACATCATATCTATCACCTAAATCTCTCCTTGATCTTTTGTTCTAATAATGAACTTTTTTGTGCATATCATTTTTATTTGCCTCTTCTTACTGTTGCTTTTGTTTTATTAATCTGTATTACACTGCCTTTTATTTATATTTCAACAAATCTTGATTTAAAACATCTTTATCCCATAATCTTTACTGTTCTATAATATAATCTGGCTTTTCTTATTTCTGTTATATTTCTCTATCAATTCTTTTCACTTGTGTCTACAATTTATTTAATTGTTTGTCTTCATCTTCTTCTCCTCCTCCTCCTCCTCTTTGTATGTGGTATTTCCTCTGTGGTGTAACTGTGGTGAGCAGGTAAAGGGGGTGTGTTTAAGAGCTTGGGTGATATGGGTGCCGTTGTGACCAACTTGGCTCTAGGCACCACAAGGATGGGTCATAGACTAGGTGGTGGAGCCAGCCCCAAGAAGAAAGGGGCAGCACTGGAGAAGGAGGACACACTCGTCATGGATACCAAACTAAAGATTATTGAAATTCTAGAGGTTAGTTTATCATTTGTTAATGTAGTTTATTTATTTATTTATAATGCAATTTAGTTGTGGTAAATTGCTTTCCAATAAATGTTTTTTGGGTAGTTACTCTGTGCAGTATTGTATTATATAAGGTATTTGTTCATGGTAGATTTATGTTTGATGTAGATTGTCCCATGACATAGTTAAGTTTCTGCCTTCATCTGTTTGCACTTGTTACTTTCTGTATCCTGAATACTGTATATTCCAACTATATGCAAGTATATAAGTGTAATTACCTAAGTGTAGTTGCAGGATGAGAGCTACGCCCGTGGTGTCCCGTCTTCCCAGCACTCTGTCATATAATGCCTTGAAACTACTGACAGTTTTGGCCTCCACCTCCACCTCACCTAACTTGCTCCACTCGTCTATCACTCTGATTCCAAAAGAAAACTTTCTAATATTTTTTGGCATCATTGCTTCCTTAGTTTGAATCTATATCCTCTTGAAGTTGCTGGTTTCTGGAATTCCTCTTTGACAGCTCAGTCGATTCCAGCTATTATTTTGCGAGTGGTGATCATATCGCCTACTTTTCTTCTGTCTTCTAGCTTTGGCATATTTATTGCCTCTAGCCTCTCCTCATAACTCTTGTTTTTTCAGTTCCAGAATACATTTTGTAGCATGGCTTTGTACCTTTTCCAATTTATTGATGTGCTCCTTGAGATATGGGCATGATACAACTGCTGCATATTCCAATTTTTGGTCTTACAAAAGTCATGAACAGTTTCTTTAATATTTCACCATCCATGTCATTAAAAGCAAGTCTGAAGTTGGAAAGCGATGCATGCGCTCCTCACAATGTTCTGTGTGTTCCTCAGGTGACAGCTTACTATCCAAAACCACCACCTAAATCTCATTCTTTAATTCCTCTCCACATAATTTGTAAGTTGTGTGTAGTCTATTTTCTCTTGATTCCACATTTCATCACATGGTATTTATTCACATTGAATTGCATTTGTAACAAGTCTCACCAAACAATTATTTTATCTAGATCAGTTTGAAGGGCATGACAATTGTCTGCTTCTCCTATCTTCCCCAGTATCTTGGTATCATCCACAAACATGTTCATATAATTCTCCATTCCTTCTGGTAGATTGCTTAGGTAGACGACGAACATTACTAGTGCAAGAAGTGAACACTGTGTATTCAGCTAGTAACACTCTTCCAGACAGATACTTTGCCTCTAATTACCATCCTAATCTTTGTCAGAAAATGTTTCATCCATATCGGAAGTCTCCCTGTCACACCTCTAGCACGTTCCTTTTTCCGATACAACCTCTTGTGTGAGACTCTGTCAAAAGCCTTTTCTGTGGGGAGCCCCATCAGCTCTCTGAAGCTATCATCACTGATTAAGTGCCATACTACCTAGTGTCATCAGTTGCAGAGTTCTTTTTGCTTACTGGGGACCATGAGCTAGAACCTGGCCCCTCAGAGAGGTGAAGGGAGCGATGCCATATGATCACTTTATATTTAAAGGATATCATCTTTGCCAACACCAGGGAAGGTACCCATAAAGATAGGCAAATCAAAATAAACCACTGCATGGTTTAAAAATGCATTGAAAGCCCCCCAAAGGCCAAAATAACTGCCCCAATAATAAAAGAAACAACCGAAAACTTTAGTAAAACTAGCCCGCTGCTAGTTAACTTCACCTCCCTGTAGTTGGGGGGAGGGGTGGAGCCGGCCCAGGCTCCTCAGGCCCACTGGCTAAACTTCTTTTGGTCAGCCTGGGTCTCTATACCCTAGCTGACCGGGTTCAAATCCTTCAGGGGAAAAATAATTTTCTGATGCATGTTGGCTTGGGGACCATTCTAAGCTTTACACACACTTGATGCTCGTGCAGCCTTAGCATGTTATAATAATAATATAATGTTGAAGTCATTTGATGAAATAGCTGTGCCCAATAATGCCACGAGTGCTGTCTGGTGTTGGGCATATAGGTCTTGTGTCTTCCCAATACTTTTGTACAGTTGCTGGCTCCTGGTTGATACCTGGTTGATGGGGTTCTGGGAGTTCTTCTACTCCCCAAGCCTGGCCCGGGTCCAGACTTGACTTGTGAGAGTTTGGTCCACCAGGCTGTTGCTTGGAGTGGCCCACAGGCCCACAAACCCACCACAGCCCGGTTGGTCTGGCACTCCTTGAAGGAAACAATCTAGTTTCCTCTTGAAGATGTACTGTTGCTCAATGGCAACAGTACTGGACTGCCAAGGGGTATGGACACCCTGGCTCAATGGGTTCAAATAAAGAAACAAATATATATATATAAAATATTATTATATACAGTATATAGCCTGGAATGGGGGGAGGGGAAGCAGGAGGGGGGGGGGCGGATTGGCTCCCCCCAACTAGAGGGAAGTGGAGTTAACTAGCAGCGGGCTAGTTTGACAAAAGTTTTTGGTTGTTTCTTTTATTATTGGGGCAGTTATTTTTGCCTTTGGGGGGCTTTCATTGCATTTTTAAACAAGGCCGTGGTTTATTTTGATTCACCTATGTTTATGAGTCTTGTGTAAACCATTTTTCATTCATAAACAGCGGGTTTGGCCAGTGCATGGAATGAACTTTGGGCCTTTGTTTAGAGGATGAGCTGAATACAATGGAAGTGCCAGTGTTTAGCAGTATGATGATTGGCAATTATTGTGAGCTGCCCTGCTGATGGCTTCACCATCACTGCTGATGGTTCTTCTCCTCTCATTACTGTTGTACACCTGACAACAATTATATTGAGGTGTGAGCTGCCCTGCTGATGGCTTCACCATCACCGCTGATGGTTCTCCTCCTCTCATTACTGTTGTACACCTGACAACAATTATTGTGAGGTGTGAGCTGCCCTGCTGATGGCTTCACCATTACCACTGATGGTTCTCCTCCTCTCATTACTGTTGTACACCTGACAACAATTATTGTGAGGTGTGAGCTGCCCTGCTGATGGCTTCACCATCACCGCTGATGGTTCTCCTCCTCTCATTACTGTTGTACACCTGACAACAATTATTGTGAGGTGTGAGCTGCCCTGCTGATGGCTTCACCATCACCGCTGATGGTTCTCCTCCTCTCATTACTGTTGTACACCTGGCAACAATTAGCTTACCTTGCAGTGCTTGCTTCCTTGTTTTTATTCTTGGATTAATGCTCAAAACTGTACTGAAATGGTGAAAGCTGTGCAACCTTTCCATTTCCATTAGATTGTTTGTTCAGTATTTTCCTCTACACTTTCTACTTTAATCTCATGACTGAAAATTTAGTTAGTTGTTATTTAAGTTCTTTGTTGGTGTATAATTATAATATGAAGATGTCTTGGTTGCATTAACCTACTTTGCCTTCATCAGTTTGTAACATAAAGGTATTATAAGACTGGCAATCTTATCTCCTCCCCGTCACTTTATTAAACAACTATTGGAACAAAGACTGTATTAATGTTTCTTTGTTTATCTTTAAAGTTAACCTAAGAGGCCATGTTCTTTAACACTTGCTGTGTCTTTTAATATAGATAACATATAACTTAATCATTTAAAATTTGTATTTAAGTGTTACTCTAGTAAGAAACACAATGTTATGATTAATGATGTATTCTTAAGATAGTATTATTTTTTATCTATTATTGAAATTTTGCTGGGGGAGCTCCTTGGAGGTTACCTGAAGCTGGCTCTCTGAGGTAACTTCACATTACTAAGGCACATCAGTCATAGTCATCCTGTTGGCCTAGTGGGGACCACGGGCACTCTCTCTCTCCCTGGAAGAGGCACAGGGAGTAAAAGACTTGTTATGATCACCCTCATTGGGAACCAACCAGAAAGTAGACAAGACAATTCAGATCATTGCACGGTTCATAAAATTGAAGCATCAAAACAGCGGCCAGGAGATATTGATGTAATGGCATTGCAGGTCTGGAATCAGGATGATAAGCTGATAATTGTAAATGCCTACAGCCCACCAGCAAGCAACACATGGACAAAGGAAGAACTGGATGACAAACGAAAGGGCCTCATAATGGTCATGAGAGATATTATTGTACAAGCAGATAAAGATAAATCACGACTGTTGATACTAGGGGAATTCAACTTTAAAGCAATAGACTGGGAGGCCTATGAAGCAAGATCAGAGGACTTTTGGACATGCAGATTTGTGAACCTCATTCTGGAGACATTCTTGTATCAACACATAAAGCAGGCCACAAGAATGAGGGAAGGAGATGTACCGTCAGTACTGGTTCTAGTATTCACCAGGAAAGAAAAAGAGATATTTGACATCCAGTACCTTCATCCCTTGGGAAAGAGTGATCACGTCCTGTTAGACATTAAATAAGCTTCATGATATCATCTAGAAGAAAATAGGGACATTGAAACAGTTGATAAACTCGATTTAAGGAGAGGTCACTATGGGGAACTTCAAAATTTTTTTAATGAGTGTAATTGGACAGACTTGTTGCTAGGCAGGGAAGTAAAGGAAATGTATGCCAAATTTTGCAAAATATACGATAAATGCACACAAACATTCATACCAAAACAGAGATGCAGGGCCAGAAAACAGGATTGGTTCAACAGAAATTGTGAGAGGGCCAGAGACCAAAAGACACAAAAATGGAATCAGTATAGGAAAAGGTCAAACCCCCAAACATACCAGCGATACAAAGATGCAAGAAACAACTATACGGCAGTAAGGAGAGAGGCAGAAAGAAATTTTGAAAAAGGGATAGCGGATAAATGTAAAACAGAACCGGGCCTATTCTACAAATTCATAAACAACAAATTGCAGGTAAAGGATATTATCCAGAGGTTGAAAATGGGAAACAGATTCACAAAAAATGAAAAGGAAATGTGTGAAACATTAAACGAGAAGTTCTAAAGTGTGTACAAAATGAAATCTTCAGAGAACCAGACACAATAAGAATTCCAGAGAACAACATAGAGCATATAGAGGTGTCTAGAGATGAAGTGGAAAACATGCCAAAGGAGCTCAGTAAGAACAAAGCAGTTGTCCCAGATGGAGTTTCACCATGGGTTCTGAGAGAATGTGCATCTGAGCTCAGCATTCCACTTTACCTGATCTGTCAGGCATCCCTGTGTACAGGAGTCATAGCAGATGTGTGGAAAAAGGCTAACATAGTTCCAATCTACAAAAGTGGCAGCAGGGAAGACCCCCTCAATTATAGACCTGTATCATTGACAAGTGTAATAGTGAAAGTATTGGAAAAACTAATCAAAACTAAATGGGTAGAACATCTGGAGAGAAATGATATAATATCAGACAGACAGTATGGTTTTCGATCTGGAAGATATTGTGTATCAACTTGAGAATGGTCCAGGATGGACCGAAACGTCGTCGTCCCTTCACCTTCTAGTGTGTGGTCTGGTCAACATACTTTAGCCACGTTATTGTGACTCATCGCCTGCATATTGTGTATCGAATTTACTCAGTTTCCTGCAAAATCTCTGTGGCTCGATCATAGAAAGAGATGGTTGGGTTGACTGCATCTATCTGGACCTAAAAAAGGCTTTCAACAGAGTTCCACATAAGAGGTTGTTCTGGAAACTGGAAAATATTGGAGGGGTGACAGGTAAGCTTCTAGCATGGATGAAATTTTTTTTGACTGATAGAAAAATGAGGGCAGTAATCAGAGGCAATGTATCGGACTGGAGGAATGTCACAAGTGGAGTACCACAGGGTTCAGTTCTTGCACAAGTGATGTTTATTGTCTACATAAATGATCTACCGGTTGGTATACAGAATTATATGAACATGTTTGCTGATGATGCAAAGATAATAGGAAGGATAAGAAACTTAGATGATTGTCGTGCCCTTCAAGATGACCTGGACAAAATAAGTATATGGAGCACCACTTGGCAAATGGAATTTAATGTTAATAAATGCCATGTTATGGAATGTGGAATAGGAGACCATAGACCCCATGCAACCTATATATTATGTGAGAAATCTTTAAAGAATTCTGATAAAGAAAGAGATTTAGGGGGTGGTTCTAGATAGAAAACTATCACTTGAAGACCACATAAAGAACGTTGTGCGAGGAGCCTATGCCATGCTTTCAATCAGAATTGCTTTTAAATACAAGGATGGCGATATACTAGAGAAATTGTTCACGACTTTTGTTAGGCCAAAGCTAGAATATGCAGTGGTTGTATGGTGCCCATATCTTAAGAAACATATCAGCAAACTGGAAAAGGTGCAAAGACATGCTACTAAGTGGCTCCCAGAACTGAAGGGCAAGAGCTATGAGGTGAGGTTAGAGGCATTAAATATGCCAAAACCAGAAGACAGAAGAAAAAGAGGTGATATGATCACTACGTACAAAATAGTAACAGGAATTTATAAAATCGATAGGGAAGATTTCCTGAGACCTGGAAGTCAGGTCTCAAGAACAAGAGGTTATAGATATAAACTAGCTAAACACAAATGCCGAAGAAATATAAGAAAATTCACTTTTGCAAACAGAGTGGTAGATGGTTGGAACAAGTTAGGTGAGAAGGTGGTGGAGGCCAAGACCTTCAGTAGTTTCAAAGCGTTATATGACAGAGTGTTGGGAAGACGAGACACCACGAGCGTAGCTCTCATCCTGTAACTACACTTAGGTAATTACACTTAGGTAATTACCAGTTGATTGACAGTTGAGAGGCGGGACCAAAGAGACAAAGCTCAACCCCCGTAAGCACAAATAGGCGAGTACAATACAGAGCCAGTTTGTGGAGCTTCTTGCTCTCCTCCAGAGGCATGGGTTCTGTTGTAATGGCTCTGGTAGGCAGTTTCTTTGTTTGTAGTCCTCGTCTTTATTGGTGGAGATGGAGATGGTTAACTTGGTGATTGATGCTTTGTTTGGCTGGCTGGAGTGTATCATCGGTTATGTCCATTTACAGTGATTTATCACTCCAGTACTGGCACTCTACCCATTTTACTTCGGTGGATGCACTTTTTGTAGATCCAGTTTCCTTGGTCACCTGCTCCAAGTTGCATTTGTCCCAGGACATCTGTGGTGTCTTTGAATCTACCGAGCCTGCAGTTTACCATTAAGCTTGAATTATTCATAATTTCGCGGCTTTGGATGCCACCTTCACTATTATGTCGTGGGCATAATTCAGGCTCGGGTTTGGAGGACTAACAGGGTCTTAGCAGCTTGGTATCAGGTCAGTATTGCTGGTTCCAGTCACGCTTGTGTGACCATGGGCCAGGTTTCCCATCTAAGACTTTGTAGCTGCTGCCTTTTCTTCTCCTTCTCCAAGGTATCTCCCATGTTTTCCTTCTTCTCTGTTGTTAGTTAGTTTCAGGGAGACACAAAGGGGCTCACTCTTGAAAACAAACGTTGAATGTAACGAAATGCCCATTTCTGGCCGAGGCCCCGTGTTTCCCTGACCCCCTTCCCTAGCAGGTACATTGGTTTGTGGTCCATCAGCTCCGTACTGACTGGTCATTTGTTGGTGGCTCTGCACACTGGGGAGTGTTTCATACCCAGTTCTGAGTAAACCAATTTATTTTGAGTTTTATCTTTTGCTGTCTGTTGGATGATTCAGTGCTTTGTTTTCATGAACCATGCAGCTGTTTGTATTGTCTTGTCTAATTTGAGGTTGCTTTCCCAGTGAGGGTGATCATAACAATCCCTAGCTCTCTCTGGCTGTTGTAGGATCCAGGTTCTGGTCCTCAGTAGGTCAGCAAGATGCCTATGACTGATGTGACTTAGTATTGGAAAACTATCTCTGTGATACAGTACTGTATATGCTCATGGAGCCACCAGGGCTCACCCAGAAAGAGGAGTTTCATTACATTGTTCTGGTTTTATTTAAATAAATTTAATGTTTACAGTTTATCCTCAATGTTCGACTGGACTATCGTATCAGCTGTCTCCTGTCAATATTCAAGAAGGAGTCAGATGAAAACCCAAGTTCCCTTACTGGAGATGGAATTTCACAAGGATTGAAAAATAAAAATCTTGAAAATATATGGGCCCAGGCTCAAAGTATTTTTGATGAAACGTGAGTTAAATTGCAAAATTTGTTGAAAAGGTTATTTTTACTTTGTGTTATACAAGCGTGTATTCATCCCACTTACTCGAACACAACTACCTTTAAATTAATACACACCCTTCTCTTACCCCCATCCATCACCCCCACATACATGCATTATCATGCCATTCAAGTTGACCTAGACAAAATAAGTGTATTGAGCACCACATGCCAAATGGAATTCACTGTAAATAAATGCTGTGTTGTGGAATGTGGAATACAAGAAAGTAGGCCACACACAACTTTCAGATTATGTGGTAAGGCATTAAAAAACTCTGACAATGAAAGAGACCTAAGGATGGCTCTGGAAAGTACTCTTACCAGAGGACCACATAAGACATTGTGCCAGAAGCATATACTGTACTATGCTTTTCTGGGGGGAGCTCCTTCGGCTTCCCGGAGGTATCCAGGCTGATATGATTATCCCTAACTTTGGCACCATTCGATGTGAGTGGAGTTCTAGGCCTACTGGGGACCACGAGCCACAACCTGGTCCCCTCAGAGAGGCACGAGGAGCAATAGCTTATAGAAATGCACGTGTGATTTTGGAACATTCTATATCTGCCATCGACCAGGACAGGCACCCAGAAAGGTAAGCGCCCCCAAAACAAATGCTTATTCTGGTTAAAAATGATGAAAATAGACAAACGAGTAGACAGAACTCCCCAAATGAAAATGAGCAAACAAGCATGACGTCATACAAGCCGTGCTGCATGTCTGCTCAGCTCTCCCCTCCCTGGGAGGGGGAAAGGGAAAGCCCCAGACCCTCGCGCCGATGATTCACACCTCAGTTCTTCGGCTGGTGTGAGGCACAATGGTCAAGTGGCTCCAGTTCCAGATTCTTGTTGTGCTGTGCCTTGGTTCAGTACTGCTCTTATGCTGGAGGCTCTTTTCCTGTTGGCATTGGCCTCTGGGGGTCGGGTTGCGGAGCTTTATGCTCTTCTCGGGCGCAGGGGTTTCTGCTCTTTTGGTCGTGGTAATAAGTTCGTTTGTCTGCAGTCCTCTCCTCTTCTGGCAAAGAATGAGACTGCTGCTTTCCGGAGGAGTCCCTGTGTTGTTGATGCTTGGTTGGTCACGCTGGGGGTGCATTATGTGTTGTGTCCAGTCTGTGGCCCTCCGCCGCAGACCGTGCCACGGCGCCACAGCCGTACGCGCCACGGCTTCTGTGGCCTTGGAATGCGCTTTGGGTTGATCTGGTTTCCCTTCTTCCCTGTTCGTGGGTACGGGTCTCTCAGGTTGTCTGCAGGGTTATTAAGTCTAGCCAGCCTGCAGTCTATCCCTGTGCCCATGACATTCCTAAGTTTGCTGCTCTTGCTGCCGTCTTTGGTGACATGTTCTGGGCTGACATTCAGGCACGGTTTTTGGCGGTCGAACAGGGTCCTGGCTGTACGCTACCTCATTAATGTTCCAGGGCCTAGTCAGGCCTGTGTTGCTTTGGATCAGCGGTTGCAGCCAGTTGTTTCGACTTCGAGTTGAGATGTGAGTACCAACTGCCTCCCGGGTAAGTCCCCTTTCTTTCCTTTTTGTCTTTGGTGATGTAGCACCGGGGAGCCATAGGGGCTTTCCCCAGAAAACCAGCATTGAATGTAATGAAACGCCACTTTCTTGGTGAGACCCAGAGTCTCCCCTGCAACCCACTTTCCCCCGGTTGACAGTTTTTGCGTGCTTTTACATCCAGCCTTAGAACTGGTGGTTGGTTCGCTGGCACGGTGGGTCTGGGGCTCCCCCCTTTCCCCTCTCAGGGTGATGGGAGCTGCACAGACATGTGTCGCAGCTCATGTGACGTCATGCTCGTTTGCTCGTTTTCAATTGGGGAGTTCTCTCCACTCATTTGTCTATTTTCGTCATTTTACCCAGAATTTGCTTTGAGGTGCTTACCTTTCTGGGTGCTTGGCCCAGTTGATGGCAGACATACCTTGAGGTTACCTTGAGGTGCTTCCGGGGCTTAGCGTCCCCGCGGCCCGGTCGTCGACCAGGCCTCCTGGTTGCTGGACTGATCAATCAGGCTGTTGGACGCGGCTGCTCGCAGCCTGATGTATGAGTCACAGCCTGGTTTATCAGGTATCCTTTGGAGGTGCTTATCCAGTTCTCTCTTGAACACTGTGAGGGGTCGGCCAGTTATGTCCCTTATGTGTAGTGGAAGCGTGTTGAACAGTCTCGGGCCTCTGATGTTGATAGAGTTCTCTCTCAGAGTACCTGTTGCACCTCTGCTTTTCAACGGGGGTATTCTGCACATCCTGCCATGTCTTCTGGTCTCATGTGATGTTATTTCTGTGTGCAGGTTTGGGACCAGCCCCCGTAATATTTTCCATGTGTAAATTATTATGTATCTCTCCCGCTTGCACTCAAGGGAGTACAGATTTAGGCTCTTTAGTCGGTCCCAATAGTTTAGATGTTTTACTGAGTGGATTCTAGCAGTAAAGGATCTCTGCATGCTCTCCAGGTCAGCAATTTCTCCAGCTTTGAAAGGGGCTGTCATTGTGCAGCAGTACTCCACTCTAGAGAGCACAAGCGTTTTGAAAAGTATCATCATCGATTTAGCATCTCTAGTGTGAAAAGTTCTTGTTATCCAACCTGTCATTTTTCTTGAAGTTGTGACGGCTACTTTATTGTGTTCTTTAAAGGTAAGGTCTTCCGACATGAGTACACCCAGATCCTTTACATTGCCTTTTCGTTCTATGTTATGATTTGCCTGAGTTTTGTACTTGGTTTCCGTTTTTATATTTTCATTTTTTCCATAGCGCATGAGCTGGAACTTATCTTCGTTAAACACCATATTATTTTCTGTAGCCCATAGAAAGACCTCATCTACATCTGATTGGAGGTTTGCCGTGTCCTCTATGTTGCCTACTCTCATGAAGATCCTAGTGTCATCTGCAAAGGATGATATAGTGCTATAGGTTGTGTTCTTGTCTATGTCTGACATAGAATGCTCCAAATCACATGTGCATTTCTATAGGCCATTGCTCCTCGTGGCTTTGAGGGGGGCCAGGTTCTGGCTCGTGGTCCCCGGTAGGCCTAGAACTCCATCCACACTGACTGATATTATGGTGGTTGGTGTTGTCGTTGATCCTTCTTTATGGACAACCCAACCCAAAACTCGGTAGAGTGCTTATAATTTACCAGGAGATCACCCTGGGCGCTTCTGGCTCTTGCAGAGGGACTTAATGTCACATGTTTAGGGGATGCGGCTCCAATACTTAGCCTCGTTGTCACGTACACACACCCACTCGAGCCGCTGTGACTCCCCACTCTCTCCTTATGTGATATGATCTCCTCAATCCCCTTTGACTTATTATTATTCCGTTCTACCCTGTCCACAGCTATGGTTCTTGGTTCTTCCTCTCTCTCTCCTTCTTTCCTACTTCCTGGGAAGCCTCACTAGGACAAGGGTAAACACCAGCAAATTTGAATACAGTTACTGAACAAAGCACATACACAATACATACACACATATAATAATATTAATAATAATGAATCCTACACTCTATACTATTTCAGTCAGGTTGCACTCCAACACCATCAGAACTCTATCATCTGCTTATCAAGTGGTATCCTATCTCCTGATTCACCACCTAATGCTACCAACCTCCTCAAGTAGGTCAAGTCTTATAACACAATGTTGCACTATCAGCAAGAGAATATATATATCTATAAATATGTGCAAGGAAAACCAGCGTATGAATGCAATAACATAAATATTAGAATAAATGTTTCTTGATATACAACAATGATCAATCAATCCCCCTATCAGTCCTAGAACACATATGTATGTCTCTGCAGGTAATCCAGCCTACGACTGTAACTCTATACTTCAGTATAAGTGCTCCTTGGCACTAAAATGGCAGACAATCACTCATCTTTCACTGCGTCTTGCACGCTAATGACAACCAAACACTCTACCAACTCCCTACAAGTAATCAACCAGAACTTCCCTTCCACATCTGGAAGCTCACTACCCCGATATCTTCAGGTTCTTCCGGGTTTATCTACCAGGATCCTCCGCAGCTCCTCCAGGCTGCTGCACCTTGAGCAACAGTGGTGCTTCACCATACAAAGATGCGAGAAACAACTACACGGCAGTGATGAGAGAGGCAGAAAGAAATTTTGAAAAAGGGATTGCGGACAAATGTAAAACAGAACCAGGTCTATTCTATAAATTCATAAACAACAAATTGCAGGTAAAGGATAATATTCAGAGGTTGAAAATGGGAAATAGATTCACGGAAGATGAAAAGGAAATGTGTGAAACACTAAACGAAAAGTTCCAAAGTGTGTTTGTACAAAATGAAATCTTTAGGGAACCAGATACAATAAGAATTCCAGAGAACAACATAGAACACATAGAGGTGTCTAGAGACGAAGTGGAAAAAATGCTCAAGGAGCTCGGTAAGAACAAAGCAGCTGGCCCAGATGGCGTTTCACCATGGGTTCTGAGAGAATGTGCATCTGAGCTCAGCATTCCACTTCACCTGATCTTTCAGGCATCCCTGTGTACAGGAATTGTAGCAGACGGGTGGAAACAGGCTAACATAGTTCCAATCTACAAAAGTGGCAGCAGGGAAGACCCCCTCAATTATAGACCTGTATCATTGACAAGTGTAATAGTGAAAGTATTGGAAAAACTAATCAAAACTAAATGGGTAGAACACCTAGAGAGAAATGATATAATATCAGACAGACAGTATGGTTTTCGATCTGGAAGATCCTGTGTATCGAATTTACTCAGTTTCTATGATCGAGCCACAGAGATATTACAGGAAAGAGATGGTTGGGTTGACTGCATCTATCTGGACCTAAAAAAAGGCTTTCAACAGAGTTCCACATAAGAGGTTGTTCTGGAAACTGGAAAATATTGGAGGGGTGACAGGTAAGCTTCTATCATGGATGAAAAATTTTCTGACTGATAGAAAAATGAGGGCAGTAATCAGAGGCAATGTATCGGAATGGAGAAATGTCACAAGTGGAGTACCACAGGGTTCAGTTCTTGCACCAGTGATGTTTATTGTGTACATAAATGATCTACCAGTTGGTATACAGAATTATATGAACATGTTTGCTGATGATGCTAAGATAATAGGAAGGATAAGGAATTTAGATGACTGTCATGCCCTTCAAGAAGACCTGGACAAAATAAGTATATGGAGCACCACTTGGCAAATGGAATTTAATGTTAATAAAAGTCATGTTATGGAATGTGGAATAGGAGAACATAGACCCCACACAACCTATATATTATGTGAGAAATCTTTAAAGAATTCTGATAAAGAAAGAGATCTAGGAGTGGTTCTAGATAGAAAACTATCACCTGAGGACCACATAAAGAATATTGTGCAAGGAGCCTATGCTATGCTTTCTAACTTCAGAATTGCATTTAAATACATGGATGGCGATATTCTAAAGAAATTGTTCATGACTTTTGTTAGGCCAAAGCTAGAATATGCAGCTGTTGTGTGGTGCCCATATCTTAAGAAGCACATCAACAAACTGGAAAAGGTGCAAAGACATGCTACTAAGTGGCTCCCAGAACTGAAGGGCAAGAGCTACGAGGAGAGGTTAGAAGCATTAAATATGCCAAAACTAGAAGACAGAAGAAAAAGAGGTGATATGATCACTACATACAAAATAGTAACAGGAATTGATAAAATCGACAGGGAAGACTTCCTGAGACCTGGAATTTCAAGAACAAGAGGTCATAGATTTAAACTAGCTAAACACAGATGCCGAAGAAATATAAGAAAATTCACCTTCGCAAATAGAGTGGTAGACGGTTGGAACAAGTTAAGTGAGAAGGTGGTGGAGGCCAAGACCGTCAGTAGTTTCAAAGCGTTATATGACAAAGAGTGCTGGGAAGACGGGACACCACGAGCGTAGCTCTCATCCTGTAACTACACTTAGGTAATTACACTTAGGTAATTACCACTTCTACCAGGGTCCTCTACAGCACTCCTGGCTGCTACACCATGAAGTCTTGCTTGATCAACAATGGTGCTTCACCACTGGTATCACAAAAGCATGTAAACTCTTCTCCACTGCTTCTCCTCTCACAGCTTGAGGTCCAACTCCTCACTATAGGGTTTGCTCTTCCACAGAGCTCAGTACCTTCCACAACCTTGGAGTCTCATCAACTACTCCCTCTCTGCTGGTTTCAAAGTTCTCAGCAACTTCTTCCCCAGACAAACCTGCAACCCATTGACACGCCAATAAAAACGTTTCCCCTTAAGCACATAAACGAAAATAACCACACAATATGTTCGCACCTAACATATCTTTGCTCTCTACATACTGTGAGAGTGGACTTCCCCGTTTGGGCTGCTCCATGCTCCGCCTTGCCCAGCGTGCGGCTCCTAACTCTGGGAACGGTCCTCCGCCGCCAGTCAGTTGGCTCCAGGCAGTCGACGGGAGAGGACATGCTGCTTGTCCCTCCAGCTGTCTCTCTCATCTCTGTCCTCTTATTTAGGCTTCCTGCCTTACCAAAACATGTCTAATGTATCAATAAACATTCGCTATGATCGCTGGGCACATGATCAACTACCAGCAATCACTGTAAACTGGTTAAAATTATGCTTACCACAAAAAGGTCCCCTACAGGGCGCTCTCCATCTGACGGAGTCTGACCAGGGCGCTCCCATGGCCCACGATAACGTCTCTGGGGGCTTAACAAACTCTCCTTGCCGTCCAGGACTTGAGACCACACTTCCCAGCTCTATTCCACAGCTGGAACGTCTGCACACTTCCTTTCTCTTGAAGGTATATCAAACAGGGGTTCCTCTCCAACGGGAGCTCAAATGGAGCGCAGCTTCCCATCACGATGTCTGGTACTCAAGTGACTTAAGCTCCTCTCAAGCAAGCCTCACACCTCCACCAAACTCTCCACATCTTGTGTCAAGTCATTTACTTATTTTCTTATTCACTGCCCATTATCTTAAATTGTCTATCAAATCCAACCAATTATTTTACATCTGTATCTTCACCTCTATATTTCCTAGACCTTCTAGTCAGGTCAGGCCTGCTAGAATAATTCTCAAAGGGGAGACTCGTTTTTTCGGCTACCTGGGATCATAACACTGATGACCAAGTCTAAGGATATACATATCAGCCTGGAGCGCTCCGGGGAGCCTTCGGGTCTCACCCAGAAAATGACATTTCATTGCATTCAATGCTGGTTTTTTATTTATTTTAAAATAATAATAATTAAATATATATTGTGGACAGAGATTAGTTTTTGTGCGACACGATGACTAAAATTTTAGAAATTATCAGACCTGTGAAGACATTTATGATTAAACAAATCCCATCCTTCGGTTAAAGAAACTATTTTCATTGAGGAAATTTTATATTTAATATTATTTGCAAGATAATAAAATTTACTTACTAAGTCGAATAGCAACAAAGTAATTACAGTCTAATATTGTGCATTATCATGTTAAACATCTGTTAGAAGATAGAATATCTTGCTAATGGTTTTTTCCTTTAAACAGTGATAGAGTATTCAAATTAGTTCATCTCCAGTTCGTCACTGAATTATAGTTGGGTTGGTTCTCAATTCACAGTCTGAAGTTCTGGGAGGAACAAAAATGGTTGGGTATGCTTCCTTTCACCTAATGCCTATGTTCACCTATCAGTAAATGGTACCCAGAAGTTAGGAAACTGTTGGGAGGCTGTATCCTGGGAAAGATCAGCAGTTCAACTTCGTGAGGGACCTTGATATAAGACCATATATATATATATATATATATATATATGGTGTATATATATACACAGGTTGCCTTTCTCTGACAAACTGAATTATTAGATTACTAATTTTATTGTCATTTAAAGATTGTTTAATACCATTGGCATGCATATATACATACTACACTGTCTTTCTTGCTGTCCTCTCGTTTATCTTCACTCTGCTTGATATTGGATGTTCTCCGTCAGGGAGGAGAACTCTAATCTGGATCTAGATGGTGAAGGTGGAAAAAAGTTTCTGCGTGTATTGCTGCATTTGACCATGCACGAGTACCCTCCTCTGGTGTCACGGTCTCTGCAGCTGCTCTTCAGACATTTCTCACAAAGACAAGAAGTGCTTCAAAACTTTAAGCAGGTAAGATTTAATTGTTGCACTGTAAATAGTTTTGAAACTTCTGATTGTTTTGGCTTACACTTCTGTCATTTAAATACTTCCATATGTATTTGGCTTTTCTTACAAATGAGTGTTAACCTCAGTGCTGACAACCTTCACACCAAACCCTCCCGTGCTGCACAAGAAGAAAAATATTTCCTAAAATTTATTTTCCTTTCTGATATTGTTAAAATGTGTTACCTGATCATGGTAAATTAAAAAAAAATATTGTATGTTACATACTTTAGCTGTTATGGAGCAGAGAAGTTGAGCAATTTATGTGCCGAGTGAGTAGGCACTCAGAGGTGCTAGCCCCAGCGACCCCTTGGGGGCGGCAGTTCCTGTGAATATGATTTTTCATTATTATTTTATTGTGTCTCATTGGTTTTTCTGATTTTGCAATATTCAAAAGTGTGCAATTTGAGAAATTAATATATTCAAATGTATGGAACATTGCTATGCTTGAAAATATGGTTTGCCGATTAGTCACTCATATAGCAGATTCCTAGGACAATAAAAAAAATCTTTGAATGTAATGAAACACCATTTTTAGGGTGAGACCCAGAGGCTTCCCGGAGCTACACTTGGGGCTGATGTGCATATATTAGACCGTGGCAACAGAATTCTAAGCCTACTGGGGACCAGCGCCAGAACTTGGCCCCCCTCAAGAGAGGCACGAGGAGCAATGGCCTATAGACACTCCCATGTAATTGGAAGCTGTCTATGTCTGCCATCTACCAGGTTAGGCACCCAGAAAGGTAGGAATTTCAAAACAAACTACAGCTGGTTAAAAATTGCACACCCGGAAGCCGAACTAGCAAGCAGAACTCCCTAATCGAAAACCAGTAAACAAGCATGATGTCACCACAGCTGTTGTACTGCAGTGCTGTCTGCACAACTCTGGGAGTTGCGCAGTCAGTGCAACTGGGGGGTCTGGGGGGTCCCAGACCTCACGTGCTGGCTACCTAATCTCAGTTCAGAGGCTGAATATAAAAAACGATGACTGGAGGGAGGGAGGGATGCCAGGGAGCCTCTGGGTCTCACCCAGATAATGGCGTTTCATTGCATTCAACACCGGTTTTCTGTGGAACAGTAGCGAGGCAGCTGTAGTGATGTCATGTTAGTTTACTGGTTTTCAATAGTGGAGTTCTGCTTGCTAGTTCAGCCTTGGGTTTGCAATTTTTAACCAACTGTAGTTTGTTTTAGAGTTCCTACCTTTCTGGGTGCCTGACCTGGTAGATGGCAGACATAGACTGCTTCCAATTACATGGGAGTGTCTATAGGCCATTGCTCCTCGTGCCTCATCTGAGGGGGAAAGGTTCTGGCGCTGGTCCCCAGTTGGCTTAGAACTCCATCGATTGACTGTTGCCATGATAGGGGCCTTCCACAAAAACCAGTGTTTTTGCTGTTTTTACACTATACACATCTTTTATATAATTACTGTTCTTTAGCAAATAATGTTGTATGAATCTTAGTGACACAAATATATCTGTGCATACCTATGACATGTTCTGTGATACAAATAATATTATTAATTGCCCATTATATAATTGAACTTGAAAAACGATGGTATATCATTAGAAATATGAAGAAAATATTAAATATTCAATGCTTGCAGTTATGATTTCATGCAAAACATGCTGAACCAGGCTGAACTCTTGACCACATATTATGAAGTTACCAAATCCATCAGAACGGCTTAGTAGTTCATAATCATGCATGAAAATGTTCATAGTTATATATGAAGTTGCATATAGTATAGTAACACCAAAAATAGAATGTTGTATTGTTCTCAGCAAATAATATAAATGCATCTTAGTGACATGAATATATTTGAACATTCTGGTGTTCCACACATTTTATTGTGTAAATTTCTCAAAAGACACTATTGAATAACATCTCTGCAAAATACCAGAGAAAAACTAATCAGACATATTGAAATAAATATGCACAAAATATATTCAAAGCAGCTGGGACCTCATGGGTGGCTCGGACCGACCACCCCGGGGCAGTTTCTGGCTGAGTGCACATGAATCATGACATCATCATGAGACTTCCAGGCTTTACTAGTCATGTACAATTTTTTTTAAAGATTTTTCCATAATTTTTAATATGCATTTCCATCAAGGAATGCATTTTAACAATATTAGAATAAATAAAAATAATTTCAGAATTTTACTTGATGCACACCTGAGTCTTGTATCATATAATCAGTTGTGCAGGCCAGGGGTAAATTAGCACTTCCTCGTCCCTGGTGGGCAGGCCGCCGCGCATCCCAAGGTAGCCCGAGCAACGTTGATGTTCATATCGGGTTTCTTACTTCAGTTTTCATGCTATGTCATTCAATTTTGTATCAAATTGTTCACAATAGAATGCTCTAAAGTAATATTTACATATAAGAACAAGTATAAAAACAACATTACCTTTACCATAAGGATAAAGAACATGAAGGTAAAGAAGAATGGCCGCTCCACACCTGATGGTCCGGATGTTGCAACATTGTCACTAGTAGAACTGCTGTTATCCTCATGTTCATCACCAACATGTACGATGTCATTTTTCAGAGACTAATCTTTATACTCAAAGTATACTAGTGACCAAATGACTACTTTGTGGAATTGGAGGAATGAGAGTTTCTTGATATCAGTTGTAATAGTACTTGTATGACACAAAAGCATTATGTATATCCATGTATAGTCACAGAGAATGGGAAGACGTTGGCATTTATTTGCAAACAAACCACATAATAATCGGACAATAAATGAAATTTTGACAAATATTTTAATTTTGGACGGCATTGCCGTCCTCTGGATAACTACGTGTATTGATTTTAGGACGTCGTTACCGTTATCAGGAAGCGATAGTGTTAGTACAGGTATTGTGAAATATCTAACAAATTGTCTTAAATTCTGTTCTGAAGAAATGTAATATCACTCATCTTTTAATACATCCATTTGATACTTTTAGGTTCAACTTTTAGTTCAAGATGGAGATGTGGAATCATACAAGCAAATAAAAGAGGATTTAGATGATTTACGCAATCTTGTAGAGAAGTCTGAACTGTGGGTGTACAAATCAAGAAGCACAGACGAAGATGGCGGTGGAAGTAAAAAGAAGAAGAAGAAGAATAAAGATGATGATGATGATGAAAGTATGTTTTATTGGTTGTACATATTTTTCTGTTTAATTACCTTATTTCAGATACCATTAAGAACAGTGTTTCAAGTTGCCATCATAACTAATCTTTGGCTTAAAGCTATTTATCCAATACATTTCCTGGACAAAACTTAACATATCTTTTCTCAGGTGTACAACTTAGATGCTCCTTAAGGCAGGGTCCCTTGTGTACCTGTGAGTAAGATGGTGAACAATGACGGCAAGTCAAACCTTCACCTTAGAGTACTAGGGATCTTGTGCTCTAAGGTGCTTGGCTGGACCTTGCTGGGTCCAGCCAAGTCAAGAGACACACTGACAAATACTTTACCAGGCTTGTTGGTCTGCTATCTGGTGCTTCACCATCTGGTGCTTCACCAGATGGTGGTACACCAGATGGTGCTTCACCAGATGGTGCTTCACCAGATGGTGCTTCACCAGATGGTGCTTCACCAGATGGTGCTTCACCAGATGGTGCTTCACCAGATGGTGGTGCACCAGGTGGTGCTTCACCAGATGGTGGTGCACCAGGTGGTGCTTCACCAGATGGTGCTCACCAGATGGTGGTGCACCAGGTGGTTCACCAGATGGTGCTTCACCAGATGGTGCTTCACCAGATGGTGCTCACCAGATGGTGGTGCACCAGGTGGTGCTTCACCAGATGGTGGTGCATCAGGTGGTGCTTCACCAGGTGGTGCTTCACCAGATGGTGGTGCACCAGGTGGTACTTCACCAGATGGTGCTTCACCAGATGGTGCTGCACCAGATGGTGCTGCACCAGATGGTGCTGCACCAGATGGTGCTTCACCAGATGGTGCTTCACCAGATGGTTCACCAGATGGTGCTTCACCAGATGGTGCTTCACCAGATGGTGCTTCACCAGATGGTGCTTCACCAGATGGTGCTCACCAGATGGTGGTGCACCAGGTGGTGCTTCACCAGATGGTGGTGCATCAGGTGGTGCTTCACCAGGTGGTGCTTCACCAGATGGTGGTGCACCAGGTGGTGCTTCACCAGTGGTGTCACCAGATGGTGCTGCACCAGATGGTGCTTCACCAGATGGTGCTTCACCAGATGGTGCTGCACCAGATGGTGCTGCACCAGATGGTGCTGCACCAGATGGTGCTTCACCAGATGGTGCTTCACCAGATGGTGCTTCACCAGATGGTGGTGCTTCACCAGATGGTGGTGCACCAGGTGGTGCTTCACCAGATGGTACTTCCCCAGGTGGTGCTTCACAGGTGATGGAGCAGATGGCAAGTATTACCAAGTGATCATCCTTGATAACAAGTGTTCACATTGCTGTAGTCAGAGTTGCAAATGTTTCCAAAGAGTGACCTGTTTTGGAGTACTGCTACTTCATGGTGGCTTTTTCTTATGTGATGATGATGATGATGATGATGATGTCAGACAATTTGACTTTTAATGAGTAAAACAAATCAAAAGTATCGTTAGCCAGAAAAATTATAGGTGGATTATTTGACCCTTCAGATTCAGGGATTCCACCACAATGCTCTTTTAATTTCCAAGCAGGAGAGAGTTCTGAAATACCTGTTGAAATAATAAGATATATAAAGCACATTCAGACATGATAAAACACCTAAGTTATTGGGATCATCTGGCCAGGTTCCTAATATGCACAGCAAAAAAACATGTGGGTAGTTTCCTTCAGAAAATGTGGGACTAGCTAGGCTGTAATGAATATGTGGGCCTGCAGGCCTTTCCAAGCAACAACCTTCTAGATCAAGTTATCACAAGACATGTCTCATCCAAGGCCATGCTAAAGAAGTAGAACTCCCATTACCTACTCCAGGAATACTTCAAATAATGTTTGGACATTTCCGGGTTTCTACATCGCAGAGCTGCTGAAAGTCTACCAAGAAGATATGTTTTATTACATTCAACTCAGAATTTTTTAAATCTCTCTCTCTTTCAATTTTCTTGAGTTTCTTTTCCTCTTGCCTCTTTGTCTCATGTAGAATACCTACTTTCCTGTGATGTTAAGAAGTGTGGAAATTATTACTATACAGTTTAATTCAACTGTTATCAATTTTCAATATAGCATTTTTCATGTGGTACAGTATTTAGTATTGTGCATTTATCTATTTAGTGAATTTTATTAAATTTATTTTGCAATTGCAGCAGATAGAAAACCCAAAAAGCCTCCTGCCCCTAAGCTGTCTGCTCAAGATAAACAGGAATCTGCCATTGATTTGGGCCTTGGCCCTCCACTTGAACCTGAGCAAGCAGATAACTATAAGCGGATACAGCAGGTAAGAGATCACAAAACTTGGCTTTAGCCGAAGATGGAGGTTATCAATTCCATGTCAGTGTATTGTGACATGGTTCAAATAGGTGGGGGTGGACTTAATGCCATTTCGTCAGGTGTTTGTCTGTTTTTTCTAGAATAAGTTATCCGTAAGATGATGTGTTGCAAAAATAGCCTTGGTTTTGTTTAGTTAAATTGTCTGTGTTACAACTACTATTAATGAATGTGATGTAGTTTCAAGAACTTGCCTCAACATTACCAGTAGTGTTATAGTCTGTAAAAATTGCATTCAATGTTTTCTGGCAAAATCTTTCTGAACTTGATTTATGTTTAAAAAAAATAAATTTTGTTTTAGCTTTTTGGAAAACTTTAATTTCCATGAATTAGTTTTAAGATTTGGTATGGAACACACCAAACTTTTGTTAATGTTATTCTACATTACAGATACTTGTGAGAATGAACAAACTTTGTGTTACACAGTCCAGTCATGGCAATCTGTCCCCGAAGAGAAATGAGCAACGTCTGTTAAGAAATATGGGCATTCATTCTGTTGTTCTAGAACTCTTACAGGTATGTGTGTATACATTTTGCATGAGATAATTTAATAGGAACATGTTAGAGCTAGTCAGTAAACTGGTGGAATATTAATGGGAATAATGTGCTGGAATTCAGTAGTACTGGAGCTCTTTGATGCCGTTATGTTTGGAGAGTGATAAACTGATGGGTGTCATTTTAAATGCCTTCACTGCCCATGAAATAGAAGTAGGGGGTAATGAAAGCTAATGTGTTAATATCATGAGGAGGAAAAGAGTAGGGTGCATTATTACGTTTTACTGAAAAGTTAATAACCAAAAACTTATTTAGTGTCAAAAGTCATTAATGCCAGTGGTGTAAGAGTAGCTAGGGCTATTTTCACAGCAATAATTTGCAAAAGAATTAATCAGGTATGACTGGTAGAGATACTATTAATTATAAAATAAAATAATAAATAAATAAATGTTTATTTAGGTAAGGTACATACATAAAGAGATTTTACAAAGTTTGTTGGATTAATAGATAGAGCTAGTACATACAATGCCTAAAGCCACTATTACGCAAAGCGTTTCGGGCAGGAAAAACATTAATGACTAAAGCATAATACTAATGGGTAAAAAGAATAAAATGTGTTGAGAACAAATAAAAATAGAGGTAAAAGAGGGGGGAACATGGCTGAAAAAGCAGCACAAATACAATTACAAATTATTACAGACAATTACATTCAAACAGCGTTGTTTTGAAAAAACAAAAAACATAAATGGGTTGACAACAGAGGGGTAAGGTAGGTTACAGGGAATTTATTAGGTAGTGCTTTGTTTTTATCTTAAACTGGTTGAGAGAGGTACTGTCTTTAACATGGTTGGGAAGATCATTCCACATTCTGGGTCCCTTGATTTGAAGAGCATTTCTAGTTTGATTAAGTCGTACTCTAGGAATATCAAAACTGTATTTATTTCTGGTGTGGTGCTCATGGGTTCTGTTACAACCTTCAATGAATCTTTTGAGGTCAGGATTGGCATTACAGTTCAGCGTTTTATATATGTATAATACACATGAGAGAATGTGCAGTGACTTAATATCTAACATATTCAGAGATTTGAGTAGGGGTACCGAGTGATGTCTGGGGCTAGAGTTGGATATTGTCCTAATAGCAGCTTTGTGTTGAGTAATTAGAGGACGTAAATGATTTTGGGTAGTAGAACCCCAAGCACAAATTAATTAATTTTTTCTTCAAGTTTATCATATGATATGTACTGTACAGTTCTCATTGTACTGATTTTAAACTTGCAATACTAATGTATGATTAATGTAACCTATCCTATTAACATTGGACAGTGTAATCCAATGGGGGCTTTTTCTGAGCTATACTACTCAGTTGCTCTACTCAGTTACTACTATTAGGCAACATCCTGCTCTTCCCAAGAACAGGACAGATCACTATTTAGTCTGTGGGACATCCCACAAGGACCTCTAGAAGGTTCATTCTTCCCAACAGGGCTCCTGTGACTGTGAAACAGTAGTAGGAGCCATCCCACTGAGACAGCCTCTGCGACTCTTATAAGAAAGAGCCATTTCATTACATTCAATGCTGGTTTTATGATTTTATCATTCTGTTATTATAGCTTAGTATATAGTCTTATGTAGTCCAATAGTCCACACTTAATTTTCATTTTATCTTTCATTTCTCAGATTCCTTATGACAAAAAAGAAGATAAACGTATGAATGAGTTGATCGAACTAGCTCATCAGTTCCTTCAGAACTTTTGCCTTGGCGATCGACCAAATCAAGCTCTCCTCTATAAAAGTATTGATCTCTTCCTCAACCCAGGCGTAAGTACAACTTAGCCATAATGGCTTTGTTATCCTCTCAGAATAAATATGCAGAGTTGTTGGTTTCCTTCATAATTTGAAATTAATCACACGGTCAAGGCAGAACTTAGAATATTTTATTTATTTGAATGATGAATTAAATGTTCTTACAGAACTTGACTGAGTTCAATGTCATTTGTCTAGATTTAAGTTCTTGAATTATTTACACAACTTTCTGTAAAGATGAAGAATTGAATTTTTAATGTTTTTAAATGTATACTGTATTTCATTTTATTATATGGCTCTATTTTCTTGTAATGCAATAATGTATGAAACTTGTATATTATTGTATACTGTACAGAATCATTATTTTGGCCTTTCTCAAAACTTCATTAAAAATTCAAACAGAATTTTAATTTAGGTTGTTTATTATGCCTCAGTGTTAATTTTATACTAAAGTATGATATTCGTACAGCTGCTGGAAGCCAAGACAGTATGTGCAGTATTCAAAGATAACTCTCAGTTGTGTGGTGAAGTGTCAGACCGAGTCATTCAGCACTTCATTCACTGTATTGAGACTCACGGCCGACACGTTCAGTACCTTAAGTTTCTCCAAACCATAGTCAAAGCAGAGGGACAATTCCTTCGTCGAAGTCAAGATATGGTTATGCAGGAGGTGAGTAATTACCCATTATGAATATTATGATGATATACCTGTTGACATGTTATAACTTCCCAGTATATTTATATATGATCACGAACTAGAGAACACCAACAAACAAGGGCTGACCTCACCACCTCCCATTTCAAATACTGTACCTATCTGATACTGTAGCCTAGTCTGGGGTCACTATAACCTAGTCTGGGGTCACTATAACCTAGTCTGGGGGTCACTATAACCTAGTCTGGGGCCACTATAACCTAGTCTGGGGTCACTATAACCTAGTCTGGGGTCACTATAACCTAGTCTGGGGACACTATAACCTAGTCTGGGGTCACTATAACCTAGTCTGGGGTCACTATAACCTAGTCTGGGGTCACTATAACCTAGTCTGGGGTCACTATAACCTAGTCTGGGGTCACTATAACCTAGTCTGGGGACACTATAACCTAGTCTGGGGTCACTATAACCTAGTCTGGGGTCACTATAACCTAGTCTGGGGTCACTATAACCTAGTCTGGGGTCACTATAACCTAGTCTGGGGTCACTATAACCTAGTCTGGGGTCACTATACTATAACCTAGTCTGGGGTCACTATAACCTAGTCTGGGGTCACTATAACCTAGTCTGGGGTCACTATAACCTAGTCTGGGGTCACTATAACCTAGTCTGGGGTCACTATAACCTAGTCTGGGGTCACTATAACCTAGTCTGGGGTCACTATAACCTAGTCTGGGGTCACTATAACCTAGTCTGGGGTCACTATAACCTAGTCTGGGGACACTATAACCTAGTCTGGGGACACTATAACCTAGTCTGGGGTCACTATAACCTAGTCTGGGGTCACTATAACCTAGTCTGGGGTCACTATAACCTAGTCTGGGGTCACTATAACCTAGTCTGGGGTCACTATAACCTAGTCTGGGGTCACTATAACCTAGTCTGGGGTCACTATAACCTAGTCTGGGGTCACTATAACCTAGTCTGGGGTCACTATAACCTAGTCTGGGGTCACTATAACCTAGTCTGGGGTCACTATAACCTATCACTATAACCTAGTCTGGGGTCACTATAACCTAGTCTGGGGTCACTATAACCTAGTCTGGGGTCACTATACCTAGTCTGGGGTCACTATAACCTAGTCTGGGGTCACTATAACCTAGTCTGGGGTCACTATAACCTAGTCTGGGGACACTATAACCTAGTCTGGGGTCACTATAACCTAGTCTCACTATAACCTAGTCTGGGGACACTATAACCTAGTCTGGGTCACTATAACCTAGTCTCACTATAACCTAGTCTGGGGACACTATAACCTAGTCTGGGGTCACTATAACCTGGTCTGGGGTCACTATAACCTAGTCTGGGGTCACTATAACCTAGTCTGGGGATACTATAACCTAGTCTGGGGTCACTATAACCTAGTCTGGGGATACTATAACCTAGTCTGGGGTCACTATAACCTAGTCTGGGGACACTATAACCTAGTCTGGGGTCATTATAACCTAGTCTGGGGACACTATAACCTAGTCTGGGGTCACTATAACCTAGTCTGGGGACACTATAACCTAGTCTGGGGTCACTATAACCTAGTCTGGGGTCACTATAACCTAGTCTGGGGGACACTAATATGTCAGGCCCTCTTATATTTTTTAATTTCTTTATTAATCTTATATTTCAGTGAGTGAAAAATGTACAATGATGATAAATTCAGTAAATTTGAGTGACTTTTCTCCTGTGATGGATTATGTTTGCCATTTTCCTCTTTAATAGTTGGTGAGTGCTGGTGAAGATGTATTAGTGTTCTACAATGAGAGAGCTTCATTCAACATGTTCGTTGATATGATGAAGGCCGACCGCAATAGAATGGACTTCGATGACATCAGTCCACTCAGGTATTTCTACTAATGACACAGTTTTGCAAAATTAGTCATAATATTAAAATTGTATTGCATGTTTATAGCTATAAAGTTGATTATTATTTTGACTTGTCATTAAAGAAAATATACAATACTACAGTATATATATTTTCTGCTGTGGACTTATTGTATCTGGAATTCTCAATGTTCTACTGTGTATTATTGGTAAAAAAAATAGAATGTTGAGTGTACTGTAATGGATTGGCTCTTTGTGGGCGACACTTCACTAGCTCCCTGAACTTGGGGCTCTCTACGAACATGCTCGCTATACTAGCTTCTTGTAGTTTCTCTACACTAAGATGATGACCTTTTTATATCATGTTGGATGTGAGGGTTAAAGGATCAACATTTCCCTATTGAGGGAAACTGCTCTCCCATGATATGTATGGTAACACACTTGTCACTAAACTAAATTGTATAATTGCTGAACTATTCATTCATCACCTCTGGTGCTGGTGAATAATTTGTATTTAGTATTTATAATAGATCTATAATGCATGTGTGCCTGGTGACTAACCACCCAGCACATTACAACTAAGACATAACCCCAAAATTACATGTGTGAATCAGTTATTCACATTGGGTAAATCAATCATTAAATGCCAAGTTTACAAAATATACAAGCACCCCCTCCCCCTCCCCTTCCCTCCTTGTCATAATAGTTAAGACAGCAATAACATAGTTTTGTCTTCAGAATTTCCAGATTTATATGACTTGCCGCCACCCAGTTGGTAATACTGTAGTTGCAAACTGACTTCTGATTACTGTGTCAGTAAAGCTGTGAACCTGCAGCCTGATTGTTAACCAAGTATAGAGCAAGGTCTTGAAATACTTGCAGTAAGCAACAGTTATTATTGTTAATGATATAAGTACAATCAATTTAACACATTAGTAATAATAATACTGTACAGCTTTGCATTTTGATTAAAATTATATAAAAGAAGATCTTAGATAAGTTTAGCCACACCAAATTGTTATATATTTTCCAAGCACAAGTTTTTCTCCAGCCTTGTTATTTCCTTTGGTGGCTGTCAAGGCTGTTGTTTGCTCCAAACCTTAGGGATGCAGTTGCTAACTTTTCTGTGGGGAGCCCCGTCGGCTCCCTGGAGCTATCGGACTGATGTGCGATATGTTTGTCTGGGGCATCAGTGAATTGGAGTTCAGCCTCCCAGGGACCACGAGCTAGAATCTGGACCCCTCAGAGAGGCACAGGGAGCAATGGCCTATGGAAACCCGCATGTGGTTAGGGGCAATCCATGTCTGCCGTCGACCAGGGATGGGCACCCAGAAAGATAGGCATAACAAACCCCACTTGGTAAGAAAATTACAAACGAAGACCGAACAGAGAAGCAGAACTCCCCCAACACCCAAGCAAATAAGCAAACAAGCAAATGTCATACACCTCTGCAGTGCCGCTTGTCTGTGCAGCCCTCCCCTCCCAGGGAGTGGGGAGGGGAGGAGACCTGGATCCCCCGCGCTGGCTACTCACACCTCTAGTTCGTTGGCTGATGTGATCTGGGACAGTCGTCAACTCTGGCCTTGATTTCTTAGCAGTGTTTTGCCCTGGTGGTGTTCTCTACAGTTTTGTGGTGCAGTGGCCATGTGTAACTTCAGTGTACTGGGGCTGCATGTGCTTAGGGCTACCTTCCCTAAATGCCCTGTAAGTACTACCCTTGGGTGCTAGGGTTACCCTACATAGTGCCTTCGGGATCCCACTTCTGTAGTGCTTCTTGCTGCTCAGCATTTACCCCACCCTTGGGGGCCAGCTGGGGTTTCATGGCCTTTGTTTGACCATGGGTAGGAAGTGGCGTTGTTGCTGGTAGGGGCACAAGGTGCTGTGCAGCTTGCCTACCAATGTTACTGTTCTTTCTTGTGACATTTTACTTTTGCTGGGGTTTTCTTTTATTTTTGTTTTCCTTGCCTGGAGGGGTCTGCCTTGTTTGGCTATTAGTCCACTTAAGGTATTTTGGTGGCCCTCCTCTAGGCCCCCGTGTTTGTACATGTCACAGGGGGTTCAGGTTTAGTTCATCCACCTTTGTTAGTTCTTGGGTTTAACCAGCTTTGCAGCACCTTGCCTGGGTTTCCAGTAGCAGTCAGCCTAAGGGCCCTGGAAAGCCCTGTCGGGGCTCGGTGGACCAATGGATGCATCTTCTGAGTTCCAGCTCACCTTGTGCGAGTTTGAAGGCTGCTCTGTGCCCTTGTCTCGGTGACAGTCACCATTTTTGCCTCCGTTATGCTGCCTGTTGGGTCAATAACACCTTTGACCCGGAGTCTTGCGAGGCATTTCCTCTGCATGTTCTCCAGTTTACTCGCTCTGATAACCCTGATATTCGGGTACAGGCAGCATCTGCATTGCATGCTAGGTTTAGGTTGCTGTAACGCACTAGGTTGGTTTCCCACCCAGATGCCCCGAGGGTGCCCCATTTTGGTTGTAAGGATCCGGACTTGTGGGTGTTAGTCACTTCGACTTTGGTTCAGTCGTCGCTCCATGGTCCTTTCCCCGTTAACTCCCCCCCCCCCCCCCCAATAGTTTAATTGTTTTGGTGACAGTAATTACTGTTAGCGAGTTGAGGGACTGTCTGAGTGACGTTGTAATTAATGTAAATTACCTTTGTTGTTGACTTTACGATAGTAATTAACATAATTAATGAGATTAATTAGTACAGTATTAACTAAATTGTTGTTTTGATTAAATTCATTGAGAATCAATTGTTCTGGTTCTATGGAACAGAACAAAAAAGTAATTGCTGTTGTTTTGATTGCCGTCCTTTAGAGACGTGTGTTAATGTAATTGTGAGTGTTACCAGAGGCTTTCTCAGTGACCCGTCTTGCTGAGTTTGCAGTGTTATTGTTTTGTTGCAATTGTTTTTATTTGCATCTTGAGTCGAAGTGACCACCCATATTGTTCAGTCTAGTTCAGTATACCAGCCAAGAGCGGTACGGACAGGAGCCCGTACTATACGAAGGGCTGTTTGATCAGCTGTCATTAGTGTCACTCAAAGGACAATTAACTTGACGTTAAATTGTTGTGCTTTGTATTAGTATTAAATTCTGTAATAAATTGTTGTTGTTAACAAGAAAAGTGTCTTTACGTTAACACCTTTCAACAATACTCACCCCTTCCCTAAACCCAGTCAATGGCAGATAAGGAAAACCCCCAATCACAGGGGGATTTTCCAGGGCCATTTCTCCCTGTGCCTCTGAGCGGGCCAGGTTCTGGCTCGTGGTCCCCAGTAGGCTGTACTCCAATGACTAATGCCCTGGTCTAATGAATTGTACATTAGCCTCTGGGGCTCACCCAGAAAATGGCATTTCATTATATTCAACGCTGGTTTTTTCTCCAAGTTTAGTTTCTGGGGGAGTCCTTTGTAGTTCTCAGAAGCTTCAAATGTTGGTAGCCACTTAGGCTCACCCAGAAAGAGGCACTTAATTACATTCAATGCTGGTTTTCAAATAAAAATGAAGGGAATTATAAAATTTCAAATGAAACTCATTTACAAAGGCTTCCATCGAAGCTCACATGAAACCATCATGGTTCATCTGGTTCATCACATAATGACTCGAGCACTTCAACATCATGTTTTGGGAAAGGGGAAAGGATGGGGAAAGGACTGCCTACTGGGGCCTGAGCTCTGAGTTTTAGTGCTGATTTAGCAATTACCAAGTCACTGCTCTCCTTTATTAGCTCCAGTGCCCCGTGGTTCAGCCAAGTGGTGTGGTGTTTGCCCTTGGTGGCTTTTCCTTACACTGTGGTGTAGCGCGAGCCAGGTCATGTCCTTGGAGCTGCGTAACTTGCCTGGTTTGCCGACTTCTGGTCCCAGGATTCATGGGCTTTTTGGGTCATTATCATCAGTTGGTCAGTCTCTTCTCCTTTTGGGGGTTCAAGTCTTGCTAGGCAGGCCTCCTCTCCTCTTCTCATCTTCAGTGGGTCATCTTGGAAAGAGTGGCTTTTGGCCTTGTCGAAACAACTACATTGCTTTGGTTGGTTTCCTGCCTCTTCCCAGTCCTGAAACGTGACTTGCCAGAGCTCCGGCTCACCCTTGACCTTTCACATTTGAACCAGGTCATCCCCTGTCCTTCATTGCGTATGAATAGACTTTCCCAGGTCCGTCTTACTTTCAAAGCAGAGACTTGGATGGTGTTTCTGGACCTCCAGGATGTGTATTGGCATGTCCCTGTACATCCAAGGTTCAGGGATTGTTTGGTTTTGTTGTGGGGCATTAGGCTTACCACTTTTGGATTACTGTGTTTGGGCTCAATCTCACTCTACGCATCTTCACTCACTTGGCTCAGATCGTGACTCATCTCAGTTTGTTGGGGTTCAGATTTTGGCCTACCTTGATGACTGGCTGGTGTGAGGCTCCCAGCTGGTCTACATGTCTGCCAACCAGGGATCTTGTTCTTTCCCAACTTACTGGATTTGGGTTCCTGGCCAGTTTTGAGGCTTTGCTCTCTTTTGAAAGCAGCAGCAAGTTGTTTTGACTCGCAGACTTTCTGGTTATCTTTCTCAATGGGGTGGTGAAAATAAATGTCACCGTGCCCTGTGCCTCAGTGAGGGGGCTGGGTTCTTGCTCCAGTCCCTGGTAGGCCTTTAGAATTGAGTGATTGGTGTGACCCAGTAGATGGTAACCATCTCGGCATATAGCTTCAGGAAATCTCTTGGGCTCGCCCAGAAATTAGCATTTCGTTTCATTCATTGCTGTTTTTTTGGGGGGAAGGGGGGCCTAAGATGCATTCATATTTTATGAGGACATTTTGTGGAAAAACCAGTGTTAAATGTAACGAAACGCCTCTTTCTGGCAGAGCCACGGTTAGCTTACTGAAGTTATCAAACCTCTTTCCAGTAAATAATTTTAGTACGTTTCTTTATATATTTATTTAAATAGATTTTAATGTACAGCTTCTCTCTTGCCATGTTCTTTTACATATGCTACTACATTGATCTTAAAGTTAATGTTATAACAATGCGTGTTATCTGCAGCAATAAAATACACTAGTACATCGGGTTAGGTTCACTATTAACGATCTATCATAAATCTCTGTGTTCGAGTTTTTTTAGTCTTTTCACATAATTTTCACGTTTTATACGGCCTTGTTTCAATTGTTCTGTACTCCATTACATTACAATTATTTATTTGATCAATGCCATTTGCTGGGTGTTGTTTTATGCTCTTGTTATTTTGAAATGGTCATTTTCAATTGCATTAGTCATATAGATATTGATAGGCCAAGAAAGTTTGAAGAACTTGCAAGCAACTGTAGGTCATCAGTGCATTATGTTCCAGGGAGCCATTGAGGTGTTGCACAAAAAGTGTCATTACACCGATAACTTTATTTTGGCTTTTGTAAATAATATTTTTGTGGTAATGATAAGAGCAGATTTTAGATGAGGAGCAGAGTATATCAATATAAGTTCTCCATGTATAACGTTAAGAGCCACCTTACAGGTACCACATAGAACTGGTGAAACTGTTGGCCTGCTGTACTGAAGGAAAGAATGCTTCTACAGAGATCAAATGTCACAGTCTGTTACCTTTGGATGACATTGTGGCTATGGTAGAGCACAAGGATTGTATACCTGAGGTAATGCTGCTTCAGATGCTGTTGGGGCATGTGGAAGGGTGTTTGTTGGTATGTAGCTCTTACTGCATTATTGAAGGCAACCACTGTAAAAAAGCTTATTTTCCCCACCAAGAGGAATGATTTATTGCCTTTGTAAAAAAAAATATGCATCTCACAGAACAAAATATATTAATAATTTGTTAAATCTTACTATCACTTCTATTTTTGAGGAATTTGACTGCTTGGTCTAAATACAATGAATGCTTGTTAAATGGCTTTCGTGCTTGTACTTCACCCACACATTAGCAAAATTAAAAGTCAATTGTGTACACGTGGATTGGTTCCAGGAGACCCGTACATGCTCTCGTATCATGTTACTCGTACTATTAGCATATTTTAGAATACTTTGGTCAAGTTATTACTGAAAGGCAAATGATATAATTGACTTATGTTTGTTATATCGGCAATACACAGTATTTTAATTAACTAGTATACTTATATATTTGAAACATTTGAAGTAAACTACACCTTTATCTCACACGTATTGGTCACATTACTGTCACTCATCGTCTCCACTTGGATTGTTTGGCCAATTTGAAGAGATTTCAACTTTTTGTACCTTACATGGTCTTCTACCATAATTTGCTTCATTTTCAACTCTCAATTGGGGATCCCAGGTTCAATTCGACCCAATTACAGGTTCAATTCCTGATGCCTCTGCTCACCTAGCAGTTAATAGGTATCCAGGAGTTTGGTAACTGTTGGGGGGGGGGGATGTCATCCTGGAGAGGGGCAGTAGTTCACATTCAACCTTGGGGGGGACCTTAATGCAAGCCTAAGGTACGGTATATATATATTCATACAGGCTTCCTGTCCCTAGCAAAACAAATTTATTATTGTTTAAATCAAACAGTTAATTTCAGTTGCCTGAAATTATAAGATTTTTTTTGGGTGGGGGACGAGCCCCTTGTGGCTTCCTGAAGCTACTACACTGATACAGTGCCATACTACTAGGTGCCATCAGTTGCAGAGTTCTTATTGGCCTACCGGGGATCATGTGCCAGAACCTGGCCCCCTCAGGGAGGTGTAGGGAGCAGTGGCACAATGAAAGTTTTATGTAGAGTTATTCATGTCTGCCGCCACCAAGGGAAGGCACCAAGAAAGTCGGCAAAACAAAAAAGATTACTGCTAGGTTAGAAATTATACCGTAGCCTAGAAAACGGCTAAAAGAACTCCCCCCAACAATGTAAACAAACGATAGAAAATTTATGAAACTGGCACGAGCCAGTTTGCCCCACCTTCCCCATTGTTTAGGGAGAGGAGGGAGGCAGACCAGGTCAGCCAGTTGCTCCTCCACCAGTTCTTATGCTGATGTGTATGTGCCTGGTCAGCCTCTTAGCTAACTCTAGCTGTGGTCTCCTGTTGTCAACTAAGTGGCATTTTTTCTTTGAGGCCTTTCCTGTGCACAGTTGTGCAGTGTGAGCTAGTAGATGTAGTGTGCTTGGAGCTGCATGTGCTCAGGGTTTACTTTCCTGTGCACTCCTTAAGTGTTGCCCATTCTCTGTCAGGGTTATCTTCTCCGAAGTGGTCCGAGTTCACTACCTTAGGGGGTCTCCTTGCTCCTCCTCCTCCTCCTCCCTCTTCCTCCCTCCTCCTTACTCTTGCCCAATAAGTAAGCTGGTTGTCTTGGACTGTCTGTTACTTCGATTCGGGAGTGATCTTTGGATGGTGGAGCACACTGTGGTTCACACGACCTATCCGGTGAGCAGAGATAGTCCTTCCAGCTTACATGCCTGATTGGGTCTACGATTCTTCCTGGTTTACTCATGTTCCACGGTCTGGTGCTTGAAAGTTGAGGGATCATAGTTTTTTGCCTTTCAGTCCTTTTGGGGCCGATTCATTTCATTAGGGGGCATTTTTAATTTAGGGGTTTACTTCATGCCGCTCTGGACTTATTAGGCTTTACCTAATGTCTGGGTGCATGTGATCTTGTTGTTTCTTCCTTGTCCTTTCAGCTGGAGTCTGGTGTCCAGGGTGCTTATCTATGTTGGTTGTTATATAGGTTATAGCATTCCCTGTGGCTGGGCATATCTGCAGGGAATGCTCACACCTGCAGGCCCTGGAAAACCCCTGTGGGTTTGGTGGTACTATAGATACCTCTTCTGGTCCCGCTCTCGCTTTGTGTGAATTTGAGGGTTCTCTGTCATTTGTGACAGAGAACATGTCGCGCGGTGACACTTTTGTCCCCGAGTCGTGTGGAATTTGTTTCTCATACATTGCTTTCCTTACCTGTCCTACTAAGGATGTTCAAGGGTATCTGGCAGTGACCGCTTTGAGTTAATGGTTTTCTGTGTTGCAGCAGTCTAGATTGTGTGTTAGTTTTCTTTATTAATAGGTTTAGTAATATAATGTATCCCGTGGGTCTTCCCTCCCCTGTACCTGGGTTCAAATAATAACACTGATCACCCTGGGAGCCCCCAGTCTACCACGGGCTGAGATGCTAGCCATGTCCTGGCCTTGCACTCCTAGCGAGTGGGGAAATCCAGCCTTACCTCACAGCTGAACTTGCCTGCCGTAACAATGGGAAACACACAGGTGAATCTTGCCCACTCACCCGTAATCAAGATCGCCAACTAGGTCTAGTATCCACGTCCCAGCAACACTTCTCAGTGGTCGTAATAATTATCATATGCCAAGGACTCAATGACAGATATAATGCAGTGCAATATTAAATAACTTACTCAACTCGCCCTAGAGATGGAAGACTCGCTCAAACACAATGGTAAAAACGATGATAAGTTTACTGGAGAAAACTACATGGATCCACAAGGTAAATAATATGTAGGACTGTCAGACGACTGCAACTTTCCTCACTCTGACTCTGGCAACACAGTCAGCTGGACGATTTAAATGCTTCACTCCTAGTCTCTTTGATACCAGCCACCTCCTCTAGTCGCTACAAAATTATATGAATCTATATGAATTATACACAGAATTATATGAAAATGTTTGCTGTTGATGCTAAGATAATAGGAAGGATAAGAAACCTAGATGATTGACATGCCCTACAAGAAGGCCTGGACAAACCAAGTATATAGAACACCACTTGGCAAATGGAATTTAATGTTAATAATTGTCATGTTATGGAATGTGGAATAGGAGAACATAGACCCCACACAACCTATAAATTATGTGAGAAATCTTTAAAGAATTCTGACAAAGAAAGGTATCTAGGGGCAGTTCTAGATAGAAAACTATCACCTGAGGACCACATAAAGAATATTGTGCAAGGAGCCTATGCTATGCTTTCTAACTTCAGAATTGCTTCATGTATTTAAATACATGTTTTGCAAAATACTAAGAAAATTGGTCACCACTTTTGTTAGGCCAAAGCTGGAATATGCAGCGGTTGTGTGGTGCCCATATCTTAAGAAGCACATCAGCAAACTGGAAAAGATGCAAAGACATGCTACTAAGTGGCTCCCAGAACTGAAGGGCAAGAGCTACGAGGAGAGGTTAGAGACATTAAATATGCCAAAACTAGAAGACAACAAAAAGAGGTGATATGATCACTACATACAAAATAGTAACAGGAATTGATAAAATTGTTAGAGAAGATTTCCTGAAACCTGGAACTTCAAGAACAAAAGGTCATAGACAAAGGTGTCGAAGAAATATAAGAAAATTCACTTTCGCAAATAAAGGTGTTAGACGGTTGGAACAAGTTAGGTGAGAAGGTGATGGAGGCCAACACCGTCAGTAGTTTCAAAGCGTTATATGACAAAGAGTGCTGGGAAGACGGGACACCACGAACGTAGCTCTCATCCTGTAACTGCACTTAGGTAATTACAAAATGTCATTACACATACACACATAAAGTAGCTCATGTATATATATATAATCTGGCACATAGCCTAATCCTACAACACTGGTAATAAAAATCAGATAATGATCACAACATAAATAATACTCTAGCTCACCTGACCAAGGGGTAATGGGAGATAATTTATCTACCTTAATTCTCTCTGCTACAAGTCGACATGTCTTCTGGCGATGATTGTTGAGGTCCTCCGTCTTGGTGGTCAGTCCTCTGTTGATCAAGGTCCAGTACAGACAAGGTCCTTAGATGACTTGTAGAAGCAAGTCCTCTCCGTGCTCACTCCCAGAAGGTAGGTCCTCCTCCACCTTGGCACTGAAGGCAGGTCCCTGCGCACATCGTCTTCCTTCTCCCTCACTGGAACTGTAGACAAACTTGTAGTCCAGTTCAATCTCCCCCTTCTCAATCTTCCAGTGGACTTGACCCGGTCACAGCAGCTAGCTTGATGTGACTGACTGCGACCCGGAGGGTCCACACGGCCCAGCGCCAACTTTCACCACCACCACCACAAACTATCAGCAGAGGAGCCCTTGGCGCTCTAATACCAACTAAGCCTTGCTCCCATGTACTCCCCAGGAGTCTACTAATCTTCCTCAATGTCTGTGGTATCAATGCGGCTACTTGGGTCCACTGGCTGGGGCTTCCTAGCCTCCAAACTGGGAGCTCACTCGAGTGTGTCCGCGCCCAGTGACAGGCAGCGACTCACTCGGCGCCACAGGGCCCGGAGTCCTCCGCCTTGTGACGTCACACACCCAGGAGCGCCGCGTCATTGGTTAATCCCGCCACGTGACCTCACCTGGTCAATCACCAGACGGCTGGCATCAGACTCCTTTGACGGGAACATCTTCTCCCTGGCACCATCTTGTGATACTAAAGGGCGTAAGCCACCTGTAGTACCAAAACTAAATCATCAAATTCAGCTCCCACATAACAACTTTGAATACCTTTATATATGTATTGAAATATTCCCTGAGCAACAGAGAATGTGCAGGTTGAAGAGATATGTCTCTTTACACTGGGATAGGAAAGATGTAGGATGGGACACGGTCACATGTGCCAGGTTAGATGCCTCAGATTTGTCCCACTTGATGTTTAGGGACTCAGATTTGGAAGTGTTGGTTAACTCAACCATGGTTCCATCCACACCTTTTCCTTTCCTGGTGAGTGTGGTTTGCCCTTCTCCTCCCATACC